GCAGAACCATCACAAGATGAACAAGAACCAGAGAATTCTGAAGCTTCAACAAGTCGTCAATCAGATCGTGTGAGAAGACGTCCCAATTGGCACTCAGATTATGTTATAGAAGGTAATATTGCATACTGTCTTTTAACAGAGGACGATGAGCCATCAACATACCAGGAGGCAATAAACAGCTCAGATGCTTCACTGTGGATGATGGCGATGCAAGAAGAAATCGAAGCCCTTCATAAAAATAATACATGGGACCTTGTGTCACTACCACAAGGAAGGAAGCCAATTGGTAACAAATTGGTCTTCAAAATCAAGCGAATCGAAGCCCTTCATAAACAGCTCAGATGCTTCACTGTGGATGATGACGATCAAGTTGAGATGTATCGTGCAAGACTGGTGGTCAAAGGATATGCTCAAAAAGAAGGTATTGATTTCAATGAAATATTTTCTCCTGTGGTTCGACTAACAACAGTTCGTGTAGTTTTGGCAATGTGTGCTACATTGAACTTACATCTAAAGCAGCTAGATGTTAAAACAGCTTTTCTTCATGGAAATCTTGAAGAAGAGATTTATATGCTCCAGCCTGAAGGTTTTGAAGAAGAAGAAAAGAAGAACTTGGTTTGCAGGTTGAACAAATCTCTGTACAGTCTAAAACAGGCGCCGAGGTGTTGGTATAAGAGATTTGATTCCTTCATTATATGCCTTGGATACAACAGACTTAATGCAGACCCTTGTGCTTATTTCAAGAGGTCTGGTGATAACGATTTTGTTATATTGCTGTTGTATGTAGATGACATGTTGGTTGCAGGACCCAACAAAGATCATATTGAAGAATTGAAGGCACAACTGGCTAGGGAATTTGAAATGAAGGACTTGGGATCAATAATTAAGATTCCAGGGATGCAAATTCACCGAGACAGAAGTAATAGGAAGATTTGGCTTTCACAAAAGAATTACTTGAAGAAAATCTTGTCACGATTCAACATGCAAGATTGTAAGCCAATTTCTACCCCTCTTCCTATTAACTTCAAATTATCCTCCAGTATGAGTCCTAGCAGTGAAGAAGAGAGGATGGAGATGTCTCGAGTACCGTATGCATCAGCAGTGGGAAATTTGATGTTCGCTATGATATGCACAAGACCAGACATTGCACAAGTAGTGGGAGTGGTTAGTCGGTACATGGTGAATCCAGGCAAAGAGCATTGGAATACAGTAAAGAGGATCCTGAGATACATCAAAGGGACCTCAAATGTTGCATTATGTTACGGAGGATCAAACTTACTAATCAATGGGTATGTATATTCTGACTATGCAGGCGATTTGGATAAAAGCAAATCTACTACAGGATATGTGTTTAAAGTTGCTGGTGGAGCTGTAAGCTGGGTTTCAAAATTGTAGTCAGTTATGGCTACATCCACAACAGAAGCAGAATATGTAGAAGCTACATAAGCCAGTAAAGAAGCAATATGGTTGAAGATGTTATTGGAGGAGCTTGAGCACAATCAAGAGTATGTCTCTCTGTTTTGTGATAGTCAAAGCGCCTTGCATCTAGCAAGGAATCCAACATTTCATTCAAGGACAAAGCACATACGAGTTCAGTACCATTTCATTCGTGAAAAAATGGAAGAAGGAACAATAGATATACAGAAGATCCATACCAAAGACAACATAGCAGATTTCATGACGAAGGCAATCAATGCTGATAAATTTACCTGGTGTCGATCCTCCTGTGGCCTGTCAGAGACGTAAGCAACATGATGGTACAAGGTAGAAAGAATGGTGTGAAGATATGATTGTGCCAATCAAATCTTCAAGTGAGAGATTGTTGAAAGCATGCACCGAAAGTGCATTTAGCAAGGTTTAAAAAAAATGAAATTTTCAACAATGGTAGGCACCAAATATAAAATGTCAAAATTAGGTGCAACAATGGTTGAAAACTAAATGGGCAAATTACAAACTTTAGTCACTAAACTTTTAGGGTATTTACAAGATTAGTCCTTAAGTTTCAACTATAAATACCTTAGCTCATTTAGCTTCAAAACCATCCCAAAGCATTCTAGCTTTCTTCCAATACTATAGAGAATTTAGAGAGTTTCTTGAGAGTTGTTTTCTCCTTTTTATCAAGAGAGAATTATCATTGTTTTCTCCTTGGTAGATCGAGAGAGGTTGTAATTCCTATTTTTCTCATAGTGAAATTCTTCTACCGTTGCCCGTGGTTTTTACCCTATATTATTTAGGGGGTTTTCACGTAAATTTTTGTCTCTTTTATCTTCAATATTTATTTTCTCAAATTATCAGTTGCATTTTTGCTCTATCCGATAGCAGTCTTCCGCAACAAACAATCTTTTTCATTTGTTGTCGCCAGTCAATCACTATTGATAGTGACCCAAAATCACCAAAATCTTATTCTTGAATTTTTTCTTACTTCAAACTCAAATATGAATATGATGTTGATTTCGCTCGAAACATCTAAAATGACATAGATCTAATGTAATGAATTTCGACTTTTATCCCGTCGATCTTGCTTATTCCTTGTTTAATCAGAGCAAGTTTAAAATATATTTTTCTCTTCATCCTTCCAATTTTCCTCACCATTGATATTCGTAGTGGTCATCATAATAGTTGGAATCAGCCTTAACCGGAACGTAAAGTCAACTCTCTTCCCTTTTCCATTTTCTTCTTTTGATTTTTGTTTTTTTTATGGTTGTGACTTTTGCTAGCCTTTTAGGGTTTTCTCCTCCTATCTAGGTTTTTTCTCTTTGATTCTAAAATGAGGTTTTAGTTTGGAAATACTTCTCCAAACAACTTTTCAACGTGATTTTTCAATGTAAAAGTACCGCATTCGATAATGTCATTTTATTATTGAAAAAATGAAAATTTATCACACCATTTCTCAAGTATACAGGTTATGTATAGCTTCAATTTACATACTATGCCTAGGGGTGTATTCGGTTTGGTTCGGTTCAGTTTTTTACCAAAAATTGAACCGAACCGAAATAAACGGGTTTTCAATATTTAAACCAAAACCGAAACCGAATAGTTAAAAAATCGAAAAAACCGAAACCGGTTTTTTTGGTTCGATTCGGTTTTTTTAACGATTCGGGTTTTTCGGTTCGGTTCGGTTCGGTTTATCGATTTTTCAATAAAAAATCACTTGAAACTATAATTTTTTTTACAAAAATTGCCTATTCGGTTCAATATGGAATAAATGGGTTCCATATGGAAAACCCGAACTGAACCGAATCAAAAAAATAAAGCCTTTAAACCGAACCGAAAATCGAACCGTTTAAAGCCAAACCGAACCGAACCGAACCGTTTTACTCGGTTCGTGTCGGTTTTTCGATTTTCTCGGTTTCGTTGCTCAGCCCTAACTATGCCTCATTATGTTGATTTAGATTATCTTTGTACTTACAATTCTCATGTATGTATATTATAGTTGTACTTGCATCCATTTAAAATAAGCTCGAATTGTTTACAATGAAATTCATTCAAACTTTTGGGGGCACATTTGAAAATAAAAAAGTACAAAGGTCTAAGGAAAAAATTTAGGGTTTCAAGCTTCATCACTATACTCGCCTATAAAGTATAAAGACATCATTTTCGTCAAAAAAAAAACCTAACTTTCGGCAGCCGGTAGAAGCAGAGAGCCTTCACTTAAATCTCAAACCATGGTTAGATTTCGTTTCATCTGTATTTTTCTGCATTTGTATCTTCGTCAATATTTTATCCTTTTTCAAAAAAATTGATCTCTCTAATTGCGTTTCTTTTTGTTTTTAGACTTTCAAGCGTAGGAATGGTGGTCGCAACAAGCACGGCCGTGGCCATGTCAAGTTCATCCGCTGCTCTAACTGTGGAAAATGCTGTCCCAAGGTAATTAACACCTAATTTCGCATCTGGGTCTCTGGGCTTTTTTTTCTACATTTTTGTTTCTATTGATTTTTTTGGGGAATGTAATAGGATAAGTCAATCAAGAGGTTTCTCGTGAGGAACATTGTGGAGCAAGCTGCTGTCAGAGATGTCCAGGAAGCCTGCGTATATGACTGTAATTTCTCAATTATATGCTTAATTTAGTTTCTAATACTATTGCATATGCTTGGATTTACTGTTTGATGATTGATTGGTTGTTTTTATGTAGCCTACACCCTGCCGAAGCTGTATGTGAAGATGCAATACTGTGTTTCGTGTGCCATTCACTCTCATGTTGTTAGGGTCCGATCCCGCACCGACAGGAGGAACCGTGATCCACCCCAACGCTTCATCAGACGCAGGGTATGACCTTTATAACATATGGTTTGATGCTCGTCACCGTCAGGGATCTTTTTGTTGTGAATAATAGTTACTCTAGCTTGCTTTGATTGTTTATCGTTTCCTTGTATCGGACGATAAAAGCTTTGAAAATGTCTCATTTAAAGATATGCTTTTGTTATCATGTAGTGTGGGGCTGTAGATGGAATTTGAATTATTGAAATCCTTTGTAGATTTATTGACCTATGTTGTATAGAATGATAGAAGGGTACTTTGGCAATTCTTCATGTTTGCTCCGTAGGTAGAAGTTTTCTGTTATGTCAATGAACTAGTTCCTAATAGCTATCCGAATCACATTGTTAGTTGCCCTGTTTTGATGGCTTGTTTTGATCATTATGAGAATGAAAATGCCTTGAATCTAATAAAACTGATTAATGGGAGTCCATAGGCACGGTAGTACTGGGAACATTTTGCTTCTTGTGCTCTATGGCACCATCATTTGAACAATTCATTAGGAACTTATGCTTGCCAATTCTCCAGTTTATTTTCTAGTGCTTGAAGGATGAACAAGTCCCACATGTCGAACAACTGTATCAAACTATTAGTTGCATTTTTTGGTGGCTTATTGATCATTATGGATGGAATATGCCTTAGAATTTGTAAGTGATGTGGAGGTTATCCAGAGCGTAGAATTCACCTGAAACCTAGAGTCCTTTTTCTAGGGACCACATATAATGTCCCTGCAGCTGATATTTTAAGCGCTTTAGGGATGAACCGGTTCCTTATATTTAATATCCATCTCTCACTTTGTCAGTTGCCTTTTTGTGTGGTTTGCTGATCATTATAAGATGGAAAATGGCTTACTTGGATGTTGTGATTCCTTTGAATTTGGGTTTCTTGGAGGCTTGCTTCTGTTTGTGTTTATTGTTTCTCAAATACTTCCTTTCCATTCAATAGCTTCATTAATCATATATGATCTTTATTTTACCAGGATGATATGCCAAAGCCTGGGCAGCCTGGTCAGGCCTCACGTCCGGGTGTTGCGGTTCCTCCTCGTGCTTAAGGCTCTTCAAGTTTCGGATGGATTTCCATTCTGTGTTTTGCTTTAAAATGTGTACTTGAGCTTGTAGACTTGCAGTTGTGTAGGGAGGTTTTGATTGGTTAAAAACTTGTTAAGCTATAAATTGTTGAGAAAACTAGTTTGAGTCTGGTAATTTTTATTCAGTTGTTTCTGTTTCTCCAAACTTGCTTCTCACTTGTTCTTAAAACATCACTTACCAATTAAGAATATAATAAACAGAATGCTACAAACAATATACGGTTCATCTCAAATTTGATTGTTGCCTTGAGTACAGTTAAATGTTTGTTTTGGAAATCTGATGAATCCTACTCCCATGGAAGTCTGTCTTGATTGCATTGGAGACAGTCTGTTGCAGCATAACCCGACTGCTGGTTTTAAGCCAAAAAAACATCTCATTTCCTACAATCGTTATAGAAAATTTTCAGTGAACCAATTTAACAGATCATCATCCTGCTTAATAATGCTCTTGCTTGTCTAAGCACTAGGCCTTAGACTAACTTTAGTACCAAGTGTATTTTCTTTTCTTTTAAGACTATCGGTTTCCGGTAGCTATGTTAAGCCGGAATTACTTCGAAGGATGGACTATGGTAGATTTTTGATATCTGATAATTACATTAAGATCAAATTAATTTGCGGCTAAATCAAATCAAACTCGAATAAAAAGAAATCTCTTCTTTCTAGTGGTTTCTACATTTACAAGATTATAATTCGAAACTTCACTTAAAAAAGTTTTTACCCTTTAGACAAAAGGTCGTTGGTGCAGGGAAACAAATGTTGGGCTTCAATGATTCTTACCTGGGTTCTACAGTCTACTGTTTACTTACATGTGGAAAACACGTGTAAGTTTCTTTCATTCGTTCCAATGGGAGAATGCCATGTCATCACCGTCCCAATATAGGGGGGAATGTTAGGTGTTTGTTCATTTCCATTTCTGTTTTTGGAAAGGGTTAGGGTTTTCTGTTTTTTGATAGATAGATTGATTGATTGTAGCATCATCTGTGTTTTTGTCTTTAGCTTGAGACAAAGAATCAAAGATGATTCTTTTGTTGTTGTTGTTGTTCTTCTTCTTGCCTGGGTCCAGTGCAGTAAACGGAGAAACAGTGTTCAAACAGTGCCCCATGAAACAAACCAGAAGAAGGAAAGCAAGAACCAATTTGGTAACTTTCTTGAGGTAATGATTATCTCCTTTGAGACTTGTCTTTTTAGATTGCTCTCAAAACTGGAACTTGATGTTTTGTCTTCAAAGTATTAGTTAGGTTGAAGATGCACTCTGGTTTCACATTTACATACCCTTCAGCTCAAACAAAAAGATGTCCCCTTGTCTTTGATTTTGTGTCATTTGCAGTTTCACCATTGTTTTGATTGCTTGTGGTGTATGATGAATGATTCCACGTTTGGCTAATGGAATTGGTATTAGGCTAGATTTAGTACATATAGTATGTGAGTAGGGATGTGGAAACGTAAGAGACCGAATAAGGAATTGGCATGTATTTTCGGTCCCGGAACTTAGATTAATCGATTCTTAACGTTACGTTTAAGAGGCGACATTTAATAGATTTGAAATCAGGATTGTATCATATTTATGCGAATGGCGCAGTATAAAGGGATATCAAATACTTGCACTCGACATGTGTGTTTAGGCATAGTCTATATGACATATTATCGACAACGTACACATATCTTGTAGGTCCAATTCTTTTTTTCTTTGAATAGTCTTACTAGACATAATAAGTTTTTTTTTGGAAGTTTCGAATTCAATAATATATTTTTGAGATTTGGGAATCTATTTTCCTTAAGTTTGCACAAATAAGACCAATAACGTGATTACTAGGCAGGATAATAAAACACGGAATCCCATGGAAATCAATGCAGTCCATGATGGTCTTTGGTGATAAAAAGAGGGTATACCACCCTTATAGATAACCATTGTGTTTGACTTAATTATATAACTAGGGGCTAAACTGAAGAATAGTCGAGAATTTAATTTTGTAATTAATACTGGCTATTACTTTGATCCCTATATGTCACTATTATGACCTTTCTACCTGTTTAATGAAGAAAAATAAAATTTTGCCTAGATAAACTCTGCAATTTGGAACAAATTCATATGGTTTTTGACCCTTTCCATTGAACACTAAGTGTGCCATAAACAGCTAGCTGTATTTACCATTTGTTCTACCCCCTAGTTTTTTCTTTACTACTAATCCCTTTTTTGGAGATTCCTTTAATGGTGAGACTTTTTTGCTATTTATTTCCATATTTGAAGAGTCTTGACCAAACTTTCTCTTTTGTGAAAGAAGTAAGAACCTAGTTTTGTTGACTTTCCAATTATTTAATTTTTGAATTTGTCATATGTCCATGTAATAATTTGATTTTGTTAATTTGTCTAAGCACATCCCTAATGAGGTCATGCATCAATTCACTAGCTTTGATGAAAATATTGTAACAAATTTTCTTTATTACCCTGACTTAAATTCGAGTGTTAGATAAAGATATGTTTCTTTCTAAAGTTTTTATAGAATGTATTGAAAAGATCTGATCTTTATATCCATGCTAGGATCGAAAAAAGAGAAACTTCCCATAGGATCACTTTGAGATAGGACTAAAACTCCAAACAAAGGCCGAGAATACTTTCATTATAGTGTTTTATATATGTGTAATTGTCAATTTACCAATTTCAATTTGAAATTTGAAAAACTTTGATTGTGTAGTGGATAAATTTCCTTATTTTTCTCATATGTCTTATTTTACGCAAAAGGTAGAATATTTTCATATTGCCAAACTGGTCTCAACATTATGCATGAAATTGCAGTTACACCAGACGTTTTGATTTTTTTATATAACCCCTTTTGTGCTTACCAGAGTGCTTTATGAAGTGGACAAAAGCGGTTTTCAGGGTGTGGTCACACTAGATGTCAAAACCGCTTTGCAACATATGTTTCAAACACAACTGATGCTGTTTTTTTTCTCTCTTCCTTTTTCATCTTTGCACATGGTGCTGCTCTGCTTTGTCAACACTTCTTAATGCCCCTTTTTGTTCATTTAAACGGAAAGAACATGTCTTTCTTAATACCCATTTTTTATTCTTCTCTCTAATTGCAAGGATTTGCAGATGTTGGTTCCAATGGTGGATGTTTTCATGTTGTTTTGAGAGAAAGTTGATTTCTTTATTTTGAGAATGGATTGTTTTCAAGAGTGTTTGTCACCGTCTTCTTCTTTGTCTCTGTCATCTACTTCATCTTCATCCCCTATTCCTCATCCATCATCACCTTCTTCTTCTTCTTCTCTATCTTTGTCTTCTTCTTCCTCTTCTCTATCTTTGTCTTCTTCTTCCTCTTCTTCGTCAAACAACCCTCATCCATTGTCAATTGATGATGAACTCTGGCTTTTGGCTGAGGAAAGAACCCAGGAGATTCTTTGTATCATTCAACCTGCCTTGGTTTCTGAGGAAAATCGAAATAGTATCATTGCTTACTTTCAGAGGCTAATCAAAGGCTACTATGGCTGTGAGGTAAACTCAATTTCCCCAGATTTTGAACCTTAGTAAAATTGGACAAGTTCTAGCAATTGTTGGTTCTTGTTTTCCAAGTGCCTGTTTGAATTCTTGAGAAAAATTTCTAATTTATAGATCACTTGACGGATTTTATGTGTATCCCTTTTAAAGTTTAGCAGGAATGGAGTTATCTTTGGCTTTGAAACCATTTTATGTGTAAATTTTGCTTTGTATCTGACTAATATCCCTTGTTTGGTACTGTTCTAGACTAAAACTGAAACCCCAAATCTCAGTGATTACTTAGAAGTGTGATGAAATAATATTGATTTTGTTTCAAGTCTTTTTGAGTAGCTTCTGAATGCACTTTAGCATGTATTTTTATGGTCTACTAGTGATGGTCAGGCATAGCTTGGTGATTGATTCCTTTTTGAGAGAAAGGTAGCTTGCATAGCTTCTGATTCAAGTGCTTGGCTCCAAAGAGTGCGGGTGTGTCCGATTTGATCTAGTCATATATCTAATCACGTCCTTAAGTTTTAATGCATTTAGCATCGGTTTTTGAATCTGTAGGCTGTCCTTTTAATATCTCTTGCTTTTAGGGAAGTAAACTTGCAGTAAAGAAATAAAAAAAGATGTATAAGTTTTTGTTTACAACCTTATCAATGGTATATAAGTCGCACTAAAGATATGACAGAAAGAACGATAAGTCGCCCTTTCGATAGATTGAGCTTTGTTTTTGACTATACTTAATTTATCACAAGTTTTTACAGATTCGAAGGATAATGCTTATCGGAGAATATCAAATAATAGTTTGTTATATATTTATATTTTTTTTCATTCTAGTGCAGTTCTTTTACTTTCCCACTCACTTTTCAGGTGTTCTCATTTGGCTCAGTTCCCTTGAAAACCTTCCTTCCAGATGGAGATATTGATTTGAGTGCTCTTAGTCATCAAAATATGGAGGAAGATTTGGCAACATATATCTGTAGTATCTTACAAGATAACCGGCATAACTCTGATTTTGTAGTACATGATGTTCAATATATACGTGCTCAGGTTTAGTTCTTCCTTATTGGTTCTATCTGCATTATTATTATTTTTAGTTTTTGGTGATATCTTATAGTTCAAATGAAGATTTAGTTTGCTTCCTCTTTGGTAATCTGTTTTTTTTCCCGAATTTGAAACTTATCACTTTTCATTGCTGTCCTTTGGGTGTTAAGTTAGCATCACAATTTTCGTTGCTTACCAGACTCAACAGATCGGGTTTCATGAGAAAATGAACCCGGAT